TTCACCCCTGACAGATAAGGGGATTCAGCAAGCCGAAAATGCGTCAACGATACTAAACACTGAGATAAGCGAGGGCCTGCTTCTAAACCATGTACTTGTGTCGCCGCTAGAACGTGCATTGCGAACATTTACTGTCGCGTATCAAAACCAAAGTGCCAACATCAATCATTTTTCACTGGAATTGCCACGTGAGATGCTAGGCATTCACACATGCGATCAGCGCCGCAAGATTTCTGAAAAGAGACTGCAGTACCCGCAGCTAGAGTTTTGCGGCTTCGAAAGCGATGAAGACCTGTTGTGGACCCCCAATTATCGTGAGTCCGACGCTGAAATCGACAGTCGCGCGACCAAGTTCTTGGACACGATCTTTAATCTGCCAGCGAAGAATGTGGGTGTTGTTTCTCACAGCGTCTTTGGTGCTTCGCTTCTACGTGTGATTGGCCATCGTGCGTATACCATTGGAACTGCTGAGTTCCTGCCGCTTCTTATCGAGAAAACTACAACGATTTGATCGACTCATCGTCTTAGTATTTCTTGATCAGCCGTCGCACATCCAGAAAGAGCGTTTCAAAATGCGGCTAGTTTTTCAGTCTTTTCTTCTTGATTAAATATATTACGCCTACCTAATTTCGGATTTCGGACTTTGATTTGCTAGACGTAATGTTGATTTTTTTTATTTTATCAAGTGTTGCTATGTTAGACACTTGGCGCAAATTTTCAGTCTATAGATATTTTATTTTCCGCGAGCGAATCAAATCTTGGGCATTACAGATTATTAGTATTTCAGTTTAATTTGGCAAAATATAGACTGCTACAGAATTCAATGCGAGCCATAATCAGCTTCCGAGTGCAAATCTAAAGATTGAGTTGTGATGGCAACTAAACGCTTAAATCCCGACAAGGATCAGATTTATACTCATGTGCCCAAGTCAGTTTTATGTCTTTTCACGCGGTCGTGAAAGCCCTCACAATGGATGCGCTCGTTCTTGAGATGTTGCAATGCTCGGCGATACCATCTCAATATTTCGCCGCTCTCGAAAAGAAACAGGTTGCAAGAACTCTTGAGCATCGTAAGACGCTTCTACCATACCATCCAGACGAAGTAAGGAGAGACTGATGAAAGGTCTATTAGCAGACTTAGTGCTGTGCTAGTTACTTCAATTTCATTAGACTATATTATCATTTAATGTTCGATCTCCGCCACACGTTATAGCAACCAACATTTCCGTCTTCGCCAATATGCTGGCCCCTGCGCACACCAAATGGAGTTTGCCCCACCTCCTTAACATGATCCGCATCACAACTGACCACTATGCAAACAGCCCTTGAAGTCCACGAGATTGTTGTAAAGCGTAAACATCTTGATCACAGTAAAGGGCACAATGGCACCAATAAGGCAGCCACTAGAAAGCCAGAGACGTGGCATACCCACATGAGGCCCTCGCCTGCTCTGCCAATATGCCACAAGCACTGCGCTTATACCGCTGCCCAGCGATAGAGGCCCTTGCACACGTGCCGCGTGGAAATACATATGTCTGAAGAAGGGTGTCTGAAACGTCAACTCGTCCGTCTCAATGAGCGCCGGGTGTGTAGCTGAAAATTTACTTGCAACCAGCGGCTCTAGAGGAAAGGGTGCGTCACTTGATGTAGGGAATCTTAGCATGGGCATCGATCTCGAGGTGTTGGCGCCGGTGACTGCCACTGGGCTGGATGGTATTTTCGCTGGCGCCTCATTTAGTACACAATGCAACGCTTGATGGAATAAAGCCAGATGAGCGCTTCTTCTTTTAGGCCTGAATGTGTTTGGCACTAGAATATAGAAGTAAACATATTTCTTAGAACGAGGTGTCGAGCAAACCCTGGGATATCGACATCACCTTGTATTTTAATCAGCCGTCATACAGAATCAACACACTGCGGCTTTCGTGATAAGGCTACGAATCGCTCGATATTATCTTGACATCAACTGACTTTAGATACGTGACCATCTCTTCTTTCAGCATCTTTCTATCCCTCAAATTCAGAGCGTTTTTGAAAGCCTCACGGTGATCAACCGAAACAGCCTTTCTCAGCAAACGCACTTGATGTTCTTCTTCGAGTATCGATCTAAAAACATTCGCCAATTTCTTTTTGTCCAATGCCTCTAGAAACTCATTCACCTGTTCTTTTTTCTCTAAGGCTGCCCGAAACAACTTCACACGATCATCATCCTTGATAGCCACTCTAAGAAAAAATACTAGATCAATATTCCTTAATACCGCATCGAGCACCTTCGCCAGATTCGTATCACCCAGTGCCGTCGTAAATTTCGGCATGCATCCCTTGTCCTCCAAAACCGATCTAAATTCCATTAAATGATTAGGATTCTCCACTATCTTCTTAAGCAATTGCACTATCCCCTGATCGTTGAGAATCACCTCGAGCGACTTCGCCGTATTTAATTCTGTACTGCTCAACATGTCCTCAACCAAATTGAATCGTGCTTCTAGCTCTAGAGCTTTTTCAAGCAACGTTACACGTTTACCATCCAACAAAGACAATTTAAAATACGGCAATATTTTCTGCATATTCGTGACCAACGCTTGGAGCTCTTTCTGGTTCAGCTTCAGCTTAAAATCACCGTGGGTCAGAAGCAATGGAAGATTCTCCAGATGCTTATCATCATCCAAGCTTGCTTTCAGCAATCGCACTAGTTCCTCTTCATTAAGCTCCGCCTTGAGCGATTGCATGAGATCGTTGTCATTCATCACCGCCATCAACGCTTTCCCTACTGTCTCATAACCCAACTCTTTTTCAACTGAAGCGACCTGATTCTCTGCCTCCAAAGCCTCTCTGACCAGCTTCGCAAGATCAGGTGACTGCAATGCAGCTTTAAATAAACGCATTTGATCGTCAGTAAGCATCGACCAATCAATTTCTTCTAAGTCTTTAGTTTCAGGGCCAACATCCGCCGATAACATTTTCAGAAAAAAATCGATTTGTTCTTCTTTCTTCAACAATTCTGTATGACTTAGGAAGAAATATAGCTGACGCCCCACAAAGACACGACTTTTTGACTCGTGCTCAATGAAGTTAAATCGAGTATAGGCAGCATACTCAAGCCCACGATCGCGTTTTAACATCCAAGATAACTTGTGGAGGTCGTAACGAGATTCCCCTAAGTTATTAATTTGCAGTGATTGTAATCGATACCCTAGTTCGCGGGTCCTGTCAAAACGCACCAAGTTCGATATCAAACGAAAGACATAATAGTAGAGATCAACAGCAGACTGGTAAGTTCCGAGCCAAGTTATCAAATCACCTCCGTTACGATTAGCAGTAAGGAATCGAGCGACGTCCTCAAGGATTGAAGCCTGGTCAACCAAAATGCCCTCGAAGCTAAATAGTTTGCCGGCATAGGATAGCAATAAAACATGCAGCCCATCTTTAAAAAATCCTTCTAGAGCTTCGTCCTCCACATGACTCATCAGACAGTCAAATACCGTTGATAGTTTCGTTTGAATATGCAGCAATTGATATTGTGCATCCTCGGTTGTCGAAGAGTCTTTAAGGAATTTGGAGATGGTCATGCGGGCAAACAGTTTCAAATCTCCGTCATCAGACTCGAGAAGTTTCGCTAAGTGTGCGAATAGCTTCTTAGTTTCATCTAAACTCCGTCCATTTTTTTCCAGCAGAGCCTTCGCATCATTTTGAGTCGACTGGAGACTATTGGTAGCTTCTTTAAATAGCAAATGGCTGCGTAAATACAGCGGGATATTCTTTTTGATGGAGTGAAGCATTCTCATCTCCCCACCAGCTTCATCAATGTCAAAATTGTCTTGCTCACTATCATCGTAGTTCTCCAATTCTCCTTCTGCAGCGGTCAAGCTACTATTTGCAGAAGGCAGCGGATAATTCAATTGATGTACAATCACGACTGGGTCTTGGAGCTGGACTATACTCGAGTTAGACGCGGAGGATATACTGACATCAAGCAGGAAAACAGTCGAAAGGATTGGCACGAACATCGTCAAGAATATTGGGAAAAGATACGCAGGAAACCAACTGGGTCAGGCAGACGTAGCCTTATGATTTGTCCATCACGAAACCTGGTCTTTCCGGACAGAATCTGGCACAGAAAATTCCTGGGCTGTTCTTTTTCAAACTTTATTTATGGGCAGAAATCAAGCTGGTGCTATCACAGCAAATTTAAAGCTAACACAACGCGCATTCTGGTGCATCTCTTTATAAGTACGTTAAGATTCAGTACATAAATATGAACGGATGGGTGGTTAACAACATAATAACGATATTCTTTTACAACTTCATCAAAATCAAGTGTTTGACAGTAAAGGAAGTAAATTGATTGCATACAAAATGGCTGACATTGCTCTCTACAAATCATCTCAAAAGTTAGGCAACAATGCTGATGTCGCAGCTCTGTCTACATTTGTCCGAGCAGAAATGGAATCAGATAAGCCAAGTGAGAAAATCTCGATCGAGAATTCATTAAACGGTGTATAGGGTTCAATGAGGGTTTCTCATCCTTAGTGATTTATAGACCAGATTACGGCAGTGATAAAGTCGCGACGGTAAAATACGGCAGCGTCAATCCATTGAAACTTAAAAATATGCGACTTTTCGAACATCTCAACAAATAGGTCATTCCTTACAACGTCTATGATCACGTGACGAACAAGCGCACTTAAGCCATCCTGAACAGTGGTAACTACTGCCACTGGGAACTCAATATAAGGATGACTCGGGCAACGAAGGGTCGTCTCGGACACGTCTTAGTCGTCAAGGACGAGCGCGATCTCAAAGAGGCGTTGTAACGGGGTTATACGTACCCTGATAACAGGGAGGGGGG